CAACTCCATCTAGTTCCGAGGTCGAGAATGGAGGCGCTACACTCCATGGCATAATGCTAATTAAGCCCAAGAACAACTTTACTTTCACCTCTTTTTATACCTGTAAAAGAATATTTGTAGGCGGAAAAGCCGATCGGCTACTTGAAGAAGTTTCACTGTACGTGTAACTTAACCCTGTTGCTTGGCAACGCTATCCTGTTATAATGCACGTGCCATAACATGAATCTCTACTGGTGCATTCAAAACTGTTATCGGAAAAGCTGAAAGGAGGAAGCCACTTGGAAAACATGCGTTTGTAATACGCCGTAATAAAATGGACCTTAAAGAAAGAAGAAGTACTTGAGAATGTGGACTGGTTCCTTGTTCAAACGTGGGACAGGCAGTGGGCTCTTGTGAGTATAGTAACTGAACTTCGGGTTAGATATAAAGCGGAGAATTCATTAACAAGCTGAACAATTGACGGCTTCACAAGAAGAAATCTGCTGATTATGTTTCTTTAGATTCCAGTTCAAATGAGAAAATGATATTTTCAGTGTCCTACTTTCGTTAATATTTGTTATCAAGTTCACATTAATTCTTACGTTGATTCCTAGCTTAAAGTTTGAGGCACTCGCTTTGGTTCATGGTTCAGCTAACCACTTTGTCTCTTCCCTTCCAGGCGAACAGTTCGCTACTCTTTCTTCTCCCATGTTCTTTCAGTCACGCATTTTCGTACAATCGAGCCACAATAACATATGCAGTTACAGCAGGATCATTAAATAAATTATTATCACTTATAGAGTTTTGTGCGTGACTTACAAGATTGGTTCTGCATTGGATGATTGGATTTACTGATACACACACAACTCGAGATTACAAGCAACACAAAATTTACAGGTTCATCGTTGTGCACACAATAGGCTTCTCGGTCTTCATCAGTCGTAACCTGGCAACAGATATAAAACAGTCTCACTGTCACTTCAAATCACACATGAAAGCTTCTTCTGACAGCCTAATTTCCTTCTTGCAATTATTCTGCAACTGCCTCTTCCGAAGACTCGACTCAATGCAATTCCTCTGCTCCAAAGCTCATGTCCTGGTAGGCTGGTGTCTCGAAACACTACTCCATTATAATACTACTCCTGCCAGCTTGGAAATTCTTCCTTTTAACCACTTTGCAAGGACCGCATAGAAAACATATCCTCTCTATTATTGGGAAAGCGTATTTACAGTGCCGTTGCATAGCAATGGAAGTTACTCAGTTTTTGCTTGCATATTCGTTGTTGCCTTAAAATGCACGTCCATTCTGACTTCATTTTTCCGATTGCTGGGCATCATGTCACACTACGGACCCATATTTATTTTTTCTTGTCACATAATTCGTTGCTAACCTTCAAAATCTGCTGAATTTCTGTTTGCAGGAGGCGTCACCAGTATGAACAGAGAGAGCAAAAGCATGTACATGTTGTTAAATTTGAGATTATCGCTGCTGTTATGAAGAATACTGTCTTCTGCAATCTGACGCCGTGTAGTCTGGCACGTCCTTATCGATATTTTCAAGGGCCGTTCTTCCTCTATCATCAAGGTAGAAGAATAAGTGCAAGGTAAAAAAAAATGTAAAGCTAACCATGTAAGAGGCTGTGGAGGCCCATAGGGTTGTGAAACGTCGAGGCTCACCCACACTCTATAGAATCGGCTCACAGATGGCGGTGAGGTCAGCTTTACGCGCCGGCCGTGCTTTACTCACATGAAGATTTCTGGTTCTCATTTCTCTTAGAGGCCTTGTCGAAACCAGGGCCATAGAGCAGCTGGAAGGATTAGGTCAATTGAAAAATCCAGTGAATTCATCGGGAAACGAACCCGCTATCTTCCAGCTTGTAGCATAGTGCTTCAACCAGCTACGCTACCGCGTGTCCCAGAAGAGTAAGAGTATCGCTCTTATCCTGAAGCGTAAAAGTAGAGGTAAAATTGTCTCTGTACTTAACCACTTATGCACTATGCAATGAAACCGTATTGCGGAGTGGATATATAGATCAAAATTTTCTTGGCCTCGGCATTAGCTGGAGGTGAGTTGTCAGGTTCACGCCCCGGTCGCTTTACTCCCAGGAAAGCCTCCGGTACCCATTGTATAGGAGGTTGAGTGAACACCAAGCCGGTCTGGACGACGTGGGGAAAAGAAAATTCTCGATCCTTCCGGGACTCAAACTCTGACCTCTCGGCCGTCCAGCCCATAGCCAGTTGCTATACCGACTGAGCTATCCCGACTCCCTATCCTGAAGTGTAACGATACTGAGCTTTTACCCTGAGGAAAGAGTAATATTGTTACACTTCAGGTTTAAAGAATTATACGCCTTCTATACTACCCTAAAGTTGAAGGCAAAACATTCTTTCGAAATTTCACTAAATATCTACCAGTTTATAAGGTGGCATATCGAGGAAGACAGCTATCTTCATTTAAAATGTTTTACAACAACGTTTCACGACTGCGTACAATTTGGCGGTACATTTCCATATCTGAACACTACAGTTTTGTTACAAATACGATTACAAAACCGTGCGTCAGTAATCTCACTCCTGGCCAACACTTTATCAGCTCCATTATGACCCCAATGCACGTGGATGTAGAGTCGTCTATTAGAATCCTTTACAAAGCAAAACTCGTGCGTTGCTTTTAACAGCATGCATACCGTTTAGATCAGTTTGTGGGTAGCGTTTAAAATACGCTTTATTGCTATTGGGAAATCATCAGTATTTTAGAGAATTGGGGCCACTGAACTCAGTAAAGCTGCACTGCAAATTGACGTGTTAAATCTCATCCAACAGTTCACAGATCCATTCATAAACAAATAGAGACCTTAATCAATCTTATAATTAATTTATTGGCAAATAATAACCTTCACAAAGCCAGGCATAATTTGAAACATCTAAACATAATGTTCACAATGATTTGCAGCGATATGTAACATCGCCTGTTCAAGAAGAAATAACTAACTTCATGGATCTGAGGCCATCTTGAGAGGCCGCTGGCTGTGAAGCTATTCAAGAACTTCCCAGCATTTTATGGAACCCGAAGGTTCATTACCGTGTTCACAAGAGCCTTCCATTGGTCTCTATGCTGAGACAGATCAATCTAGTTCGTACTGGTTCATAATTTAATGTTGACTATTATAAATAATATCATGAGTTACTCCCTGGATATTTTAAACCCACACAGCATGGGAAAGAAACTGAACGTCTAGGAAAGCAGTGATGAATCAAACTGAAGTAGCAGATACACGTATGCCATCTGTTTGATTAAAATCTGGACAGATATCTGATTATAGTGACAGGTTCTTTGAGATATTCCTCGCTATTTCAAAGCAAATAAATGCTGAGGCAGTACCTCTGTTGGGTCACATCCGTTTGCTCCCAAATCCTTCCGGCCTGCATAGTCTAAACATAGACTGAATAGTCTGAAATAAACGCATAAGGCTACTTTGAATATAGAATTTCACAAGGAATTATAACTGTTTATATAGAAAAAAAGGTAAACATGTAAATCTATAGATACTGTCACGCATAAGGCTCATGTGCGTGACTTTTAAGACGGGTTTTGGATTGGATAGTTGGATTTACTGGTGCCTTATACACTCAACTCGGAACTATGGGCAGTTACAGCGCTAACGCTGATCTACACACCTTACAGTTCACCGTTACGCAGGCACTATAGTCCATTCGCGGAGACGAGACAGTTAGCGTAAACGAAGCAAGCCCCGCGTCGCCACAGCTGACAGCAAGGAGTGGACAAAGCGCGCAGTTACTCAGTGTACTCACTGCATTCGGACGCAAGTTAACCTGCATTTAGACTGAGGAGTGAACTTTGGGCGCCCCCGCAACGGGGCACGCATCACGTGATCGCTGCATGATTTCATTCAAAGAGCGAAGGAGATACTGCGTGCATTTGTTTACGAGGACTCTCTGGCCTCCGCGAATGGACTGTACGGTTCTCAATCTTCGCTAGTCTTATCGTGACAAAGGGCTTTAACAGTCTCACTGTAACATCAAGTCGCACATGAAGCCTTTTCATAGCCTAATTCCTATCTTACCGTTATTCTACAACTGCCACTTCCGAAGACTCGACTCAGTTCAATTCCTCTGCTCCTAAGCTCCTAACCTGGCAGGCGGGCATCTCGAATCTCAACTCAATTCTTCTCAAATGAATTGTCCTTTACAACCACTTTGCATGGACCAAGCAGGAAATACACTCTCTATATTGTTGAGAAGGCATGTTTGCAGTGCTTCTCCATAGAAACGGAAGTTACTAGATTTATATTTTCGTATTCGTTGCACGGGAATGTGTTTACCGAGCCATTGCCTAACAATGACCATCTTTCCTGACTGCAATATTCCGGCTTTAAGGAGTCATGTCACAATATAAAAATTGCAAAGAACCGGGATACTACAGTCATTATACGCAGTAGGATACAGGCCGGATTATTGGGTTCCAATCCTGGCAGACACAAATGTCTCTCAGAGATACTGGGTTTTCGGACTTTATCCATCGTCCTGATTTTTAAGATAACTAAGAAAAAACACGATGTTTCGGAAACTGGATCTGTTTCCGTCCTCAGGTGAGAGAAAACACCTATTCTGTTGGGTCACTTAGAAAGAGCTAGCCTCAATCACCTCCGTCCTCACCTGAGGACGGAAACAGATCCAGTTTCCGAAACGTCGTGTTTTTCTTAGTTATCTTAAAAACCAGGACGATGGATAAAGTCCGAAAACCCAATATCTCTGTGTGTTATACACCTTCATCAGAATCCTATAGTAATTACAAATGTCTCTGTTCCCTACCGCTTCCAGACCGGTTAAGTTACTTCTTGGGAAGAGTAAATTCGTTGTAGATTAAAAATCCTGAGGTGTATTCTTTTGTCTTCCATCAGGTTCTATCAGTCACAGTTGCGTTAGTAATTATTGTTGTATGTATTAGACGGAAGCCTGTGTAAGTGGGCTTAACAACAGTATCAGTGGCCTATACATACCCAGTTGCTCGCTCTAGGTCCACCATCCAGGTTATTCCACTCTGAAATCAAAACACAGTTTAGTAATTAAATATAAATTTACTCAGAAACTAATTTAATGGTAATTTATTTAGCGAGGCTGCCCGTGATTCAGAATATACTTCGTCAAATGATTTTATGAATTTATGTAGAGGAGAGTGCCATAGTCTCATTTGGGGTCCTGCCTCGGAATTTTCCTGAAGAAACTGAAGAAATCGCGAAAAATCTCAGAAAATTTGGTGACTTGGCCGAGATTCGAACAAGGTCCCTCCGAAATACAAGACAGAATCGTCATATCCAGAACTAACGTCCTCTGTTTTATGTTCCAAGAACTATATTAATCCTCCGAATAATATATTCATGTTTAAGATTATGCATTCATGTGGTTGGAGTCGGGATAGCTCAGTGTGTATAGCGACGGCCTGGATGGCCCTAGTTCGATTCCCGGCACATTGTCCAGACGGCTGTGGTGTCCGCGCAGCCTCCTATACAACGGGTATTGTGGGCACATTCCGCGGGAGCAATGAGGCCGGGGCGTGAAGCTCGCCAATCATCTACATCTAGTGCCGATGTAAAGAACTGTGAAGGTATACTTCCATTGCCCATGTGTCTTGTTACCAATCCGTATAAATTTTACTATATTTGGAGTTTCAGCTTCTAGGACAAAACGAACGACACGTAGCGACAGAAGTCTTTAAAATCACCGCTGTGATAACCTCAGACACTACATACACAATATTTATCTATGTATTCTCTATATGTTATTATTCATCTGTTAAATTTATGGTCGTAAAGTGTTAAAATTATCAAGTGCCATTTTCTGTTCAGTATAGTTCCATATTAATGAAACGCTTGTGAGGCAGACTACAGAAGTTTGTTCCCTCGGACACTTAGCGTCCTCGGTTTTCTGAGTTTCAATAATGCTGGATCTGTATGATGTTCTACATTAATTAGATATCACACAACACCGTAATCTAAACAAATATCCTATCAGGAACGTGAAACTTTAACACCACCAATATTGTAGCGCTAATTAAATTCTATTGAATTCTTCGTTACGCATATTCAAACTAAAACCATCGCAATAGCGATTACAGAATTGGTCAAAAAAAAAGGAATGAAGTTGCGTGTTATGAAGCATATAATCAGAAAGCACAGAAACCAATACAGAAGTCAAATATAATTATAACACTAAAACAGCATGGACGTCTGTGATGAGCCGGAATGCATACTCCCCGAAGGTATATTTGTAAAATAGAAAATGCGAATTGCAAAAAAAGAACATAAGGATAAACCGAATATTGTAACAAAAGGATAATAGCGGGGAAAAACCATCGCAATTTAACTGCATGCTGAGCTCAGCAAAATAAACAATACCAAATACCATGTAATTAGAAACCTAGTTAAAACACATTCTGTGAGTCTGTATATGTTTCATGTAGTTAAAAGAGTCCATAAATGAATGCAGAAAGGAGAGTAATATTTTGAAAAGTATTAATGTTACCATTATGCGAGCCTGACAGAAAGTGCCTAATGACCTGTCAGTTCACGGACTGGCAGTTACACACGCAGCGTTCCTTGTTATGCTAATTCTCATGCTGCAATTATAAATGCACACGTAAGCAAAGCCAAGCGGTCGAAACAATATGACGCTTCCGCCAAGAGTATTGAGTTCTGTTTCGTTGCATTACAGATGTCTACTTCCATTGGTTATTCTCTCCCGCTTTATTGTTGTCACTCCCGTCGTCGGCACCGCTACTGCTGATACTATCTTCTCCCTTTTTAATTATCACAATTATGGTTTTATATTTCTGTTGCTCCTTAATCTCGAATGAGGGTTATCAAATTATTCTCAGATTTACATATAATTTTAATACATTTTTCTGTTATTTGTTTTAAATCCCGTTAGGTTTATGTAATTTAATATTTTCTGGAATTTTAATTGTTCTTTTATGTTGAACAATTTACTGCTTACAAGTCCTTATCCCCATTTTTTTCTTTTCCGAACATTTTGGCATTAAGTGTTTATGAACCTCATCCCAGAACGTAGAAGACAAATTTATCATGAAAAATCTGTAGGATACAGGATAATTTCAGGTGATCTAGAAATTTCACCCTTTCAAAATTATGGATTACAAAGAAAATGAATCAAGTTCAAATTATTTCAGACATTGTAATATGAAATATAATTTAAATAAATTCCAAATATTAGTGTTTAAGAAAAGAGGTACGGTATGACCAAACAACAGAAGTGGCAGACGAAGTGAATTTTTTCGGAGTGATAATGGGAAACAAGGGGAGATGGAACAGACAGAGGAACAGGACAATAGTAAGAGGCAATCCTACGTATTTAAATAGCTGTCAATGAATCCTCAGAAACATCTGACGTAAGGGGAAGATCCTGGAATTTGTGTGTGAGACGTTATGCGAAACTAGATTGATGCATGGTGTGGAGATATGGGGCTTAGATGGGGGATAGAAAGACAGTTATAGAATTTTCTTCTCTTAACCCTATACATTTCCAAATCCCTCCTTTCGGCCGTGATATTCCACTTCTCTCATTCCTTATACTTTCATCGATTTAATTCAATTTACTCCACTTATGCAATTTCACAATAATATATTAAGGAAATATTTATATATTCCTATATTCGAAAATGAATTCTTCTATGTCGTTGCATTTTTCTGCACTTATTTTACATACATTATTCTCAGTAATCACTGACTGACTCGATAGAACAGAGGCTTAGCCTAATTTTCCTTCTTATTTCTATTCCCTAGTCTCCACCATTAGCTTATTTATCAGCCATTCATAACAGTTTCTTACTATTCCATGTGTATGCACGTGTAACAAGCGTAACCAGTACTGCACTATCATGCACAGTCCACTGACTTTCCTACTGTGTCTTCGTACCTCCAATTTACCCATACTATTTGTGCAAATATGGAAAAATTTAATATTTTCTTTTAAAATTCCCCATAAATTCTATACCTGTCTTTCTATACCCCATCTAAGCCCCATATCTCCACACCATGCATCAATCTAGTTTCGCATAACGTCTCACACACAATTTCCAGGATCTTCAAATGTTTCTAAGCATTCATTGACAGCTATTTAAATACGTAGGATTGTCCTGTTCCTCTCTCTGTTCCATCTACCCTTGTTTCCCATTCTTACTCCGAAATAATTCACTTCGTCTGCCACTTCTGTTGTTTGGTCTTTTTTTCCCCCCTGTGGCGCTACAGCCCCAATTTTGGCCTAGGCCTACCTCCATGAAACTCTCCGTTTCACTTCGGTTTACTAGATCTTACACATTCGGAAGGACTCCTTGGGCGAGTGATCAGCTCGTCGCAAGGCCTCTACCTGTAGACAAACACAGAAAAACGCACACAAACATCCATGCCCTGAGTGGGATTCGAACCCACGATCTCGGCTTCCGAGCGAGCGAAGACAGTGCATGCCTTAAACGGCTCGGCTACCGTGACTGGCTGTTGTTTGGTCATACCGTACCTCTTTTCTTAAATACTAATATTTGGAATTTATTTATATTATATTTCATATTACAATGTCTGAAATAATTCGAAACTTGATTCCTTTTCTTTGTAATCCATAATTCTGAAAGGGTGAAATTTCTAGATCCCCTGGAATTATCCTGTATCCTACAGATTTTCCATTAAACCAATTGGTGCTTAAACTACAACGTTGCCTCACATTTCCTTCTTTTTTTTCGACATTTGTCATCTCGTCTTTATATATTTTACAAAAATCTTAATGACATCGTTAAATTCCTTTTGATATAGTTCATCATATTACCACTTATTGCTTCTCATTCTGTACCACAAGATTTATCTACCAAATGAGTGAAAAGAATTTTCAAAATTTAGAAAACATAAACGTTACTATTCTCTTTTGAATCTGAAATATTTATTTATTATTTTAATTACAGAAATATTATCTGTGATTCTTTTATCCTTAATGAAGTCTGCTTAAAACAATAGTAAAGCCTTGTGGCTGATTACTAAGTTTGTAAGTCTCCAAGTCAAAATTCAAGGAAATATTTTTTTACAGATCAGAGAAACGAAGTCTTTGTGCAATTTTCCAGTTTTGATCGCTTCCATTGCCTGTTATAAACTAGGTGAACCATTGGAACTTTTTAGTCTGCTAGAAATTGCTTCAAATTTTTAATCTTGTTACATCATCCTTCACAGCAGAGAACGCATTCCAAATCTCAGCTGGGATACGAGAACTGCGAGCGTTACAAATTGTGGGCTTGTTCTAGTTTCGCTGTATAGACCTCTTTACTTCCCCTTTGTAAAGTCACTCCAGCTCTGTTCCATACGGACTGCCAAACGTTTCAGTTGCATGCACTTCTGTTAACAAACTTCCAATATTTATACAAAAACCCTTCAAAATATTTTACGCCTTCATAAACCGTACGATGTGGTGGCCACTTGCATGATAGGTCTGTCCTTTAACACAACATACATTGACGAGATGTAGATAGAATTATTTATGAAGATTTTGATAGTATACAATTACAATATTTTTATAAATCCATACTGTTTCAAATATGATACTCTCGTCCCACGAAAGCACCTCGAGAACTCTTTTTTATAAACATATCTCATCTTGGCTACTGTTAATCATCAGTTAAATAGGTTGAAATTAAAGTTGCTTCGCAGCAGGAATTCTTTGATTTTGTAATTAGTATGAAACATAGGCTACAGGCTGGTCGCCCGAGGAATCGGGATTCAATTCCATTATAAAGAGAACAATTAAACTAATATCACGCCTGACACTACATTCTGGTTAAGAAAAATATGTTGCTAGGAAATAGGATTTCATTATTTCAGATAAGAGGATCTCACAACAGTGAATGCTAAGATATGATTTTATTCAATTTGACGCCATGAGGTTTGGTAAATAATTACCAGGTTTTGTATCTATCCACCAAATAGTCACTGTTACATCTATGTGACCATGATGTGAACTTTACTAGCGTCATTGGAAAATTCACTTCTT